GATATATTTTAACAATTAATTAATCATTGTTGAGAAATTGTGAATTTATTCTTTTTATTCAATTTATATACACTATATATGTATGTGAAAACCTACACTATTAACATTACGTACCCATTCAAATGACACTCGCACTAATTTCAATCATAAAATTAAAAACAAGCCGTGTCCGTGTTTTATTATTTTCAACAATTCAACATAAAAATTATATTATATATAGGTACCTACTGTCTTGTGCATAGTTGTATTATTATTATTATTATTACCTTTGTGGCAATTCATATCTGGGCTGTTTCACGGTTGAACTGTATCCAACGGGCCCGCAAGTGGGTCAATGCTTTTTTCCTTCAATTTTTTTCCCCACAATCGATTGTCCGGATGACTGGTGACAGCTCTGTGGCGTCGGCGTATCGTGTCATTGTCTCCGGTCGTTTTTTTTTTTACATTCGTTAATCATTCTATTTAGTCTATTATTTCGTCTATATGCATTTGACAAACCATTTTAGGAGTGTTGTTTTTGTTTTTTGTCATACGATGAAAATCCCGATTTGTAAGCGGAAACATCTCTGCTGCACCATCTATTTAACTATATAATATGATATCGATACATATTTTTAAATTTGACCTGTATTTGTTGTGGAATAATAGATAGTGCATTTTTAAGCATATAATATCGAGTTGATGATCACTCCATAAGTGTACAACTATTATAAAATACAAATTTATAAAATTATTATATGACGTAGTTGGTAACTATATATGTATGAAGTGTATATACTACATGATATATTAATAGTTAGTCATATGTATAATGTATATATGTATTTTATAAGTGTCAAAAATATATAATAGATAATAAAGTATATTGAGCTCAATGCCAAAAATTATTTTTAAACAATAATGACGCCAAAATTATGAACACTTTAACGTGTATGTAAGAATATCAGATAATTGAAAACCGGACTAGATTGATAAAAAAGAGAAAAATTACACTGTCCATGAATTTATTATTCACAGTAGCAGACAATGAGAAATGTTGTGTAGACTGTGTATATACAATATAAATATATAGTTTGGAATGTTCAAAGGGTTATGTAACTTGTAACTGACTCACTGACGACGTCGTCTTATGTTGTAAGTGTTGTAACATAAAAAATATTATTTTTAAGACATTTAGGTACGCACTAATTACAATGCATAAAGTTATAAGTACCTATCTACTAAACACGAATACATCTATACCAGAATTACATAGCTTTAGTTTTTTATAGTGAATAAAAATATAAATGTCTGTCTTTTTTAAGAACGCTTACCTATTAATTTATGTCACAGATAACAAAGAAATAAATGTAAAAAAAAGATTTTGTGGTTTTTTGGGGTTTTATTTACTATCGATTATCAAGGCAATAATAATAATAATAATATAATATAACGGTGGGTGAATTTAACCTCATCAGGTTATTGTATTGTCTCAATGTCTAATTATTCAGTTACGATAGTTACAACACATGTTTATTACGTCGGCAAGTGTATATACATATTATACAAACACTATTAACCATCAAGTCAATTTTCTCGTCTGATCAATTGCGCATGAAGCGTATAATATATACCTATCACGTCGATATACACCCTTTGAGCCTTGGGAATCATTTGGTATAACGCGTCTGCACGGCCTTAGATGTTTGGAAGTATACGCATTATAGTTTTTGTACATACATACCTTCTCGGTGAAGCTTAAGGTCTCTCTCCAGACGGTATATACACATCAAAATTCTTCGCTATTCCGCGACGAAATTTATATACGAATAAAATAATTGTCGTTTTTCCTAACTATATGTGAGTGTCCTTCGAAACATATACAGTGAAGACAAATTATCCCGTTACAAACGTATGGCATACGCATGTGTGTATTTTAACTGCGCAGCTGGAGTAGCGAATCTGTAAATTGCGAGAACTGCAGGGTGGTCGTATACATTTGGGTGTAACAATAAATTATATTATTTATACGCGGTCAGATCTTTATTCTATAATATATTTTATAGTTATACGCAATATAATAAAATAATCCATACCGTTACAAATTTAAGGGTAAAAGTAATGCAACAAAAATTAGGTTGTTGCGTAGATGGCAAGCGGGATCACGCGTCATGTCGAAAATCGATGATTTATCACACCACCGATTGTATGGTAAATGTTATTATTATGTAACTACTATTTTACTACCTGCTACTACCGAGAAATTTGGGTCGAATCGCCAGCGTTCACTATGGGGGACTTATCGAGCGGAGCCCGCACAACGTTGCAGAAAGAGATGCGCACCGATGAACATATATATATATATATATATTAATAGTAGCTACAAAAATTTTCTTTTTTCAAATCGTCGTACACCCAAAACATTTATAAAATAAATACAAGTGTGTATTTGTGTGTGTGCGTGTGGATTGGTACCGTTAAACTATTGGCTGGTGTGTGGTGGCCAACTGACGACTGTTTTGGTGTATACTATACACACTACACACACACACATACACATACGCACACGTACACGCATACATATATAATATATATATTCGCTTCGAGGGTATACGTATTACGTTTGTAAATATATACGACGTTGATAAATTGTTTTGCACTGCAATATGTGCGACAAGCACTTCGCAACGTAATAATAATATTGCACGTGTCCAACGAAAATCGCTTTGTCGTCCGACCGATTTATATATATATATATATTTGTATGCCTATTGTTCTGGTCCATTTGATAGTATTATTATTACTATACTTCTAACCGAGTAACCGACTACGAGTTTTTGCCACAACCTACACACGTTCCATGAATATGTCCAAACACAGTGGGCGGTTTGTGTATGTACATATTATATCTACAACGTGTTAACACCCGACCCCGAGATCGGACCTTTTCATGGTATCATTTTTGTTGTTGACGGTCGTTGAAAACCATTTTGTATACAATAAAAGACGCGCACTTACCCTACAATATAACGTAAATCAGACCCGACGACGACAACTGTAAAAATTGTTTGCGAATGGCACAAGCAAATTATTAAAATATATAAACTGTTTCAGTGTAAGACCTGTTTAACGTTTTTGTAAGATTTGCGTTGTCGCGTTAATGCCTTTTATCATTTCCATAACCTTTGTATGATGGATAAATATATATAAATATAAAATATGTACACGATGGAACCTCTTATTGGGGTTACTCAATCGGTTAATACAGGTGCATGTATATTTTAGGCTTGGCTTTATAACTTTATAAGACGTGAATTTCACTAATATTTAAAAAAAAAAATCAAAGTCAAATAATTATGTGTATTAAAATAAATAGTTTAAAATTAAATTTGCTAATAATTATGATAAAATACAGTTGGGAAAGTTTAGTAATGCGCTTTATTAAAATAAAATGACTATCTCACAAATTTATTACTATAACTACCATAATCAATACGATAATACTCAAAAAATCAAACTTTTAAGCAATACAAATGGTAATTCTATAAGATAATTGAAAGCGTTTCGCAATTAATTTTAGCCTTAAATTAAAAAATAATATTATAATTAGATTTAGTTTAGCTTAAAATTGATTAAATATAACATTAGTCAAAAATAATATTAAAGTTTACGTTTATTTTACTGGTCAAAAGTCAGTAAGTACAAATTACATTTACATGTTTTTCTCGGATAAAATAAATCGTTACTGTGGGAATTTATCTACAAAAAAGTATAATTGCGGTTAGTACAAACACCAGCTTAATAATATATCTGAATTCGTATTAGATCATTTTATTTTACTAAAAGAATAAAGTAGGTACAGTTAATCAAGTACCTTCCTATCATTCGACATACTTTTTTAACATTTAAATCATAATAAATTAATAACAATAATAGTATTTTCTCCGATTCGGTCAAAAGCATTGGTTATGTTTTTTATTTAAACGAATTTTCATGTAGTAGGTTATAACGCATACACAATATACAACATAAATGACAAAACAATATTTTTATTAATTATCATTTATCACGAAAGTTAAGTTTTTGTTAATTGATTTAAATACATTATTCTTTTTACGCTTTATTTATTTATTATAATATGGTTATAATTTATAACAGCTTAATAATCAATACAAAACATATAGTTAAGCTAAACTTGATCCTCATTATTTATCTCGGAAACAATTTCGGTTCGGATACGAAAAATTACACACAATTTACGGAAAAAATGCCAAAAAAATAAACAGCAAAAATATTTGTTCTACTATAATAACATTATTTTTATAAACAATATTTTAAATAAAATAAATTTAAATATCATTAAAATAATTATTTTTTTTTAAACAGTAACTTTCTCCTTTTAAATATTTTTCTATACTTAACTTTTAATTTTCTCGTCGCGATAATGTTGATATAATTTCAAGTTTTTTTTTCACTAGTTGTTGATTTTCTTTCTGGTGGTATAACATGCTAACGTCCTAGTCGTCCTACAGTGATGATTTTGTTCTATCTTTTAAACATTTCAGTTAGGTTGCAATAAATGACAGTAAGAATAAAATATACTAACGTGTGCATTACGATTAAGAACTCACATTTTTTTTCCATTTTCAAGATATGTTTTCCGATAGAAATTTTACCAGACATTTTGTCTGTGATTTTTGTACACGATATTACACATATATTATTTTCAACATTACAACTGTACCTACCTACTTATGAGTGATAATATATTATACGTATACGTGTAGTGTAAACACGTTTGTATATAATATTATAATTTATAGTTGTATAAGTATAGATACGTCAATACGTCAAAAACTTTGGAACACTAACGCTTTTTGCTTCCTTTTAATTTAATACGTTATAATTGTTAAGTATACGCATTTATTGAACAATTGGTATAATATATTTGTGTTTTTTTTGTTTTTTTTTTATGTTTTTGTTTTCATTCTTGCCGTCTATGTTATTGTGGTGCACTTCAGGGCAAAAATCAACTTCCGTCATTATTTCTGTCGATCCGCCGCATCAGTGGACCAACAGCATCAGCGCCAAGTACGGTGCAATATTAGAGACAACTACACATTACGTCGCCGACGATTAAAACTGCCATAGCCGATACCCAACAGCCGTGGTATTATGCGATTTTCGTGCGTATCGGTGTTTCATCGGTCGAGATGAAATCGTCCGACGACGACAAGTACTGCGTCGGTCCTCGAAAACCACAAATTCCGACTGATTCTTGGAAGTAAGTCTTTTGAGTTAATATTGATATATATTTATATATATTAATTTAAAATTACATATTATAAAAAAATTCTCAGAATACAATATTACACTTACACACAACTGTATGAAAATTATCGAAAGAAAATGTATTAAACTCTTACAATATTGTTAATATTTAATTATAAATATATAGGTATACTACCTATTAGTATAAGTAAAAGTTTCGTTATTTTTATCAACTTGAATCAATAAAGTTATTAGGCGGAATTTTTAAAAGTTTTACTCTATAGAGTATTGAGTACTTAATTTATACATATATTATACATTAAATTAAAAGTTAAAAAATTAACTAATAGTTAATAAATGTACAAATCGTCTTCGTGAAACCATTATCAATAAGATAGGTATATCAATTAGCAGAGCTACACACTTTAGTACTACACCTTTCACGTTAATAAAATTCGAAATTCTTAAATTATTATCAAAATATTATAGGAAACGTAATATTTTATCCAAGAGATTTTTTTCCCGGAGTTCTTTATTGGAATTTTTTATTCCTCGTAATTTTAAATCCGTTCACTATTTTTCCTTTTTGAAAATATTTAGATTATAGATATTAGATACGTATACATAAACACGCAAAATCATAATTGATGATAAAAATATTTATTTACAACATAGACCATATTAAACAACAAAATAATTCAAGTTCAATATTAAAAAAATTACATTAAAATAATCATACTTAGACATAAATTAAGTATTAAAGTACAAACTAAAACAAATTTTAATTTATATGAAAAATAGATTTAGGAGAGTTATCACCCATCACTGTTCATCCTCTTAAAGATACTTTTGTGATGAGTTTCAACTGAATTTGATATGTTATTAAAACTAAATTAAGCAAAATCAATAACATATGGGTTTTAAATAATAACGATGCACATTCGCTATATTCGTTCAGTGCATTTAATTAAAAAAATTGTTTATATTCATCATCCATCGAATAATAATCATCATTAAAGTATATTATAAAATTAATTAATTATTTTTTTTTTTATGCCTGAATAAATTTAATTTTTATGGTAGACCTACTTTTTTAAAATACCTAGAATAAAAATGTACAATTGATAATTTTTTACTGATTCGGACCTTATAAATTATAATTAACATTATCATTCTAAATATATTAGGTTTATACAATTATATCACTAATATTATTTAGGTTAGTAGATTATTCACATTATTATAAAGATAGCTAAACCTAAAAAACTGGAATGTAGATTTTAAAGTGTATCTATTTATACTATACATTGTGGTTATTATAATCTAGTACATCTATATACATTAAGTAATACTTTACACTCAGAGAGTCAGACATTTATAAAAAATGTATACTTAAATAATCTAAATATTATTCGACAAAAAGAAAAACTAATGATATTTTTTATGCAATAAATTTTTGTTTATTAGTCATTCGCTATGATTTAAAAAATATATAATATTGTATGATGTTAGATTTAAAAATACAGAATAAAGTTTTATTTTAGTTTATTAAAAATGTATTTACACAATGTTTTTTGTTGTGTTGTTTCATGGTAGTGTTTAAAACATATTAAAATATTGTTTAAACGAAATACGTCTGCAACCAATCCACAATAATGTATTATAAATTTTAAATTAATGTTAATAGTTTCATGAACACAATTTTTTCAAAAAATGTTGAAACCTTATTGAAATTTGAAATGTAGATTAAAATATTAAAGTTATTTAAGATAATTAAAGTACATTTGAATTGATCATAGAACGTATAGTTAAATTTGTATATGATTAATTTAGTAAATAATATACTTGTTGAGTATTTAATGATATTTATTTTTTGGTTTTTTTTTCCCGTACACCATATTTTTATATATTATACCTATGTAGATTATGGTTGTCTACTGAGTCTATAAATAGAAAAAAAATTTGTTCATTTTTCAATAAGTTTGAAAAATAAAATATTATGGGCTATACATTGAAATTAATTAAAATAATATACATGGATTCTTCTAATATTTCAAAACATTATTTTCAAAAAAAAATGTTTGACATTAGATTTAATTTATTATAATTTGTATCACAGATACCTATAACTAGGAAATATAAATGTGTGCTTTTCTTAAAATAACACTTTAAGATTATTAACGGAATGATGAATGTATTTATTTTATAAAGATGTGTTTTTAAATATTATTTCATGATCTTCTTTTAAAAGAGTAAAAGTATTTCATTCTTCAACTTTGGGAATCCTTACTCCTTTTTTATAAACAATTTGATTTATTCGGTTTTTTGAGTGATTAAAATTAAATAATTTTGCCAATATAAAAAAAAAAAAATTTAAGTAAAACTGTCATTTTTATTGTTTTTTGATCTAATTCAAAAACAAATTAATTTACCTACTAATATTTTTTGATTACTGTTGAAATTAAAATCATAAAATCAAAAAAATTTGCAAATTATTTTGTGGTTAAAAATATATAAGATTGTTTATTAAAAACTAAGGCGGCTTTGCAATTTAATAGTAATTTTTGAAATAAAACTAAAAACTTTTTGACACTACATATGTTAATTATTATTACTATGATTATTTTAAAAATATTTGAATTAATTTTAAGGTATTTATCGTACATCTAACGTATATAATCAATCTTAGGTTAACAACAGCTGGTAATAACTTATATGAAATAATATTATTGTATTTATCATTTAATTTAAGTGATTTATTGTTTTACGAAAGTTAATTCAACTTATCATAATACTAATCTATGTATAAAAATTATAAATATAAATATGAAAATAGAACTCTTTCTTACAAATGTTCTTTGGAAATTTTCATTCGATTATTTTGAATTTTTAATGAAAGAGTACATCGCGAAGCAAGTATTACACCTATTTCTGATTCTATGAATTAATGAAAAATTCAAGACAACTATAGTTATATTTTTAAATAATCAGGAAATACGCACATAAAGATTTTTTTTCATTTATTACCAATTATTGATTATTATTAGAAATTAGTATTTTTTATGAATATTTGATGTGGTACAAAATTTTTTTGTTGTTTTTAGTTGATACTATTGAAAACTTATGAGTTGTTGGTTTTCGTTCAGAATGAAAAAAAAATTCAAATTTGAGTCGTTCAATAATAAAAAAAAAATAAATAAATAATTAAAAAAAAAAAAAAAATACTGTTGTTAATTATAAAAAAAAAAAGAAGCAACGTTGGGCGGGATAGCTATGTAAAGTTGATATGTCGGAAATATTTATAGGACTATACATCACATTAAAAAACCAAAAATATTATTTATCCACACGCGTTACGCTCAATGTTTGCATTTAGGGTGCATTATATTATAAACGAGTAACGATGTGCACAGGGATAACAAGTAGTCATATAAACATATAACAATTCTCAAAGATAAGGTTTATCCAACACCTTTGAAGAGTAACTTCTCCGGTTTTTATTAACGGTTTCAGTACCAGGAAATATGAACATTTAGGTAGGTAAACGGGCAAACGTCAAACAATCTAACGTCACATTCCCAAAAACCACATATTCATTATATATATATATGTATATAATTTACGGTAAAAAACTGACCGCCAAAGCCATTGACAGCTACTATTCTGTACGACTACCTACTAACAGCCATATATTATACATGGTCCAGAGTAATTTAACCTAAAATCATATTATAATGCCATCTTATAACAAAACCAAAAAAAGGTTCTTAAAAATTTTTAGGGATGTCTAGACTGGATGCTTGAAGAATTCATTTATTTATGGTACAATGTTAACCTTACACTCTTATTCGTTTTTCAATTCTGTATGTGTACTGTTATTATATTTTAGACATGTGAATTCTACGAATTTAATCCTAGAAATTCCTGTGGGTGAATATTAAAAAGAATTTTTAAAATCTTTAGCGAAGATTATTTTTTTAAATTCTCAATATTTGTTGTGTCGATTTATAATTTAGCTCTTTTATTTGTAAATACCATAATATGTATGTTATTATATCATAGTACCTATATTATATTATTTTAATATATTGAATTATTTTTAAATTACATTAAAGCTTCAAAAAAAAAACTCATCTTTCTCCATCTTAAAATATCATAATTCATGATAATGAGTATATTGAATTATATTATTATTAACAAAATTTTGACCATTAATTTCTATAATTTCTTAATTAAAATTATAGAACAATATGACGTGTTATTAATTATTACATAATGTAACAAAAAATAAAACAGAAATAAAATTTAAAATTAAATATAAATAAATAAATTAAAAATCACGAAATCAAAAACTATAAGAACTAATAGTATTTTTTTTATAATTGCAATAAATATATAAATATAAGTAAAGTACTGTATAATTGTGTAGTATGTGATAAAGTATACAGGTGTGTAGTTTGTATTTTATTTATTCGATAATCAATTTTCTCTATATATAAAAATACGTACCTATGGGCCCTTGTTGAAGAGGGCGACGAGGGTAAGACAAATTCAGATATATAGTTGTTTCTTTTAGAAGAGTAATATGAATTTATAATTTAATAAATTGCTTATTGAATAATGACTTAGATAGCATAACATTTTTATTTTTTCCTCTCCTAAAATATTACCCATAGGCGCCTTTATTCATACTTATTTGTAATTTATTTATGTTTAATTAAATAAAAAAAAGTTTATTCTGATAGAAATTTGATTTTTTCGGTTACGAGTTACCGTATAATCTGCAGCTAACGTGTATATTTTCTTATTAGCCAAATATGCATACAGAGACTGCCCGGTTTTGTCAGATTTATTATTTTATTTTTATATAGTACTTACAAATTTGAGTAATTCTTATCGTAGACAGTTAGTAAAAATAAAACACAGACAGTAGATAGGTGCACATAACCCGGTGACGTCTACGACATTGCTTTTCAGTATCGTATAATTCATATTTCATACATAATAATATGTAGCGTTGTAGTTGTATAGGTATGTATATATCTCGCGGTCACCAATTGTTATTTTTATTTGTCACGTTTATCGAATTGTAAATCTACAGACGATGTGTATGAATATGACGTACTACCACCGCTTGATCGAATATACCTTAAATTCGTTTCAGAAATCTGTACAACAAAAGAAAATGCGAACACAAAATTGGCAACAAATTTGTACATTATAAACAGTTCTACTTTCTAGTAGTTTCGATTTTATCATCGTCAGGTTATTATAAAGTAATAATAGTACTCTCTACTATATAATATATATTATTATATCAAAAAAAATCATGTACATATTATGTCTATACCTTAATATTAAATTATACAAAATTATTATAACGTAGACATATTAATAATAATTAATATTTATTTTTATTTTATTTATCAGCTGAACAATTATGTAATATGTATTTAATGATTGGTTTTCATTTTATATGTTTTAAACTGAAGACGAATATAGGCAAATATGTTTTTAGTAAAACTGTCATTTGAATTAATCAATTATTATCAATCAAAATATTAAATTTTACGTTAGATATTTTTTATAGAAATGTTTAATTAACAATAAATTATAAAAATATACATAATAATATTCAAAACATTAAAAATTAATGCTAACAGTATTACTCTGTAAATCATATTAAAGAATATTAAAATAATTAATTTTAATAAAAAGAAAAAAATATCGATTTATTTAATTTAAACTGTAAACTAACAGAACTTCTTTAGAATTTAATAAATACAATGACATATTATATTTTAATCGTGTTGACTATTTACAAATTAATGTAAATCGTTTACGTATAGAAATATTGGGACATTTTGTACAAAACCTTTAAAATTGTCTACAAAATATATTGAATAAATTAGTCCGATTCGAGTGAACGGTATATAAACAACCCATCATCAGTCGTATTGCTTGCTATCAATTGTACTTACTATAGTCATATAACTATTACATGTGCGGTTAGAATATATAAAAAGGTCTATGTATATCATCAAACATATACGTTTTTATTAACGCACGTGTGGCGGTTTTGTTGCAGGAGTGCTGGATGATAGTACCTACCGGGGCGGCGAATCAATAGAACCACCCCAACTGGATCCCGAGTGGCTGAGGGCGGAGACCAGCGGCGACCCCGTTATGCGGCTATCCAACGGCAACGAAGCGGCTACCGACTCCATGGTTGAAATGTTGCAGTTCAACGAGCACTTCCTCGACGAGGACGGCACGAAATTTATGTTGAATCCCGCCGAGCTAGAAGACCTGCTGGGACGCGATCAGTACGCCGCCGACGGTTCACCGATCGCCGTGTCAGTGCAACAACAACAGCAGCAGCAACAACACCTCCACGGTGGTCATCACCACCACGGCCATCACCATCAACAGCCGAACGGCGTCGATCAGCCCAACACCAAGCCGACCGCGAATTTCGCCGACCTCAAGCCTTTGATGCCGTTCCACACGATCACGGAGCGCGTTAACATCAACGGCATACCCGGTCACCACTACCAGTCGATCGCGTCCAACAACCGGGTAGCCGAGAACAACAACAACACGGCCACGACCAACAACAACATGTACTACCAAAACGAATACCTGGTAACGTCGTCCACCAATGCGGGATTGACCAAGTTTAAGGAGGAGGACACGTTCGTCGACAATCAGTTCGACGAGTTCGAAATGCTGATGGGCAGCCCGTCGTTCGGGCCAGATACGACGGTGACGGCCAGCGGCGACCACTCAGCCGTTGACGGTCCGGACGAGTGGCTGAGCGTAGGCGACGATTGGACGTCGTACGAACATCCGAACGGTTCACCGCAAGACAACAAGTCCAGCATACTTTCCGACGTCACCATACACGACCTGGTGGCCAGTTCCCAGTTTCCGGGCATGACGAACGGTAGTGGCGGCGGAGGCGGCGGGAATTATCACCAGCAGCCGCCGTCCTCCATGCAGAAACCGTTGTATCAGCAGCAGCAGCAGCAGCAGCCGCAGCAGCAGCAGCAGCAACAGCAGCAGTCTCGCGAGCTGGTAACGTCCAATGTACCGCCGCCAGCACCCCGCCCGGCTGCTGCGGCGTTCATGCCTCTGCTCCAGAGTCGGCTGCAGAACGGACCCGCCAATAAGGCGCCGCTCCAAGACGCTGGCAGCTATCACATGGACTGCGCGTCGTCGCCGTCGTCGTCCACCCCGTCGTACCTGGCGCACAGCCCGACCAGTCACGTGGTCAGCACCACAGACCTGGGCGGTTACATGCCGTCCGCCGCGGCCGCTGCCGCCGCTGCTGCTGCTGCCGCCGCGGCTGCGTCCGTCCACAGTTCGCGACCGTCGCCCGAATTCGCGCACACCACCACGCCCGGCCAAGGACCGCACATGACCGCGAAAAAGTCGCGAAACAGGAGCGGCAAGGCGAAAGGCAGCGGCGGCGGCGGTGGAGGCGGCGGCAGTGGAGGGGTCACCGCCCGGAACACCGTGGTCTACTGTTCGGACGGCAACGTGGCCAGGGAACGGACCGTGCACAACTGTCACATATGCAACCGCGGGTTCCTGAACAAGAGCAACATCAAGGTTCACCTGCGCACGCATACGGGCGAAAAACCGTTCCGGTGCGAGGTGTGCCAGAAAGCGTTCCGGCAGAAGGCCCATCTCATCAAGCACGCGCAGATTCACAAACGCAGCGGCCGGGATTGAGCCGGGCCGTCGCACGTCCACCGCAACCACCCCGGGACGTCGGGCCGCAGCAGGTACCGGCATTAACTATAGTACGTTACGGTGACGCGATTACTGTTATACAAATACGATAATAATATTAATAATAATAACGTATTCACATTATAACTGTATTTACCCGAATGTCGCTTACGATTATTTTTCACGCGTTTGGCACCCGCGCGCGATCGTCCCACACCACGAAACGTAGTCGTGTTTAATAAATGCATTTTGACCAAAGACTCTAAACGATTCGATTACTATTGTTTTATTTCGGATTTTTTTGTTTTGTTATTATTATTATCATTATTATGATTTTAATCGCGTCGTCGGCTGAGTACGTTCATCCGTTGGCTTTTCGACAACAGCGTACGCAAGCCGTTTTATTTATTGTACCAATATATATTTATATATATTACTAAATGTGTACGTTTAGGTTTGAGTCTCGACAATCATGTTGAGACGGGTGAAAACCTTCTTAGACCTGATAATATTATGATTGTGTACGACGAAGAACGTGGGCAACGATTTAGTTTTAAAAAAAAGTACAAAATGTAATTTGTTTGCGAATTATTGTATTAATTCGTCTTGATCATTATTATTATTGGTATCATCATTATTATTACGTCTTGTATTTGATTTTATTATTATAATTATTATTATCATTATTATTATTATTATTAATACGAATTATGATTATTATTACTATTTTTATTGTTGTAACTTGTAAGTATTTTGCGAGCGTGGATCGCGTTATTATTGTACGTTCACGCGATTAATTTATACATATTATTGTTTTGTTTGTTTGTTATTTATTCGGTGTTCTCCGGCGCTATCATAAAACACTTTAATTGTTTTGGAAAAACTTTATATTAACCTCAAACATGGTTTTTTCGTTCTCTTTACTAATTTATTTTTCGTGTCGATAGCAGAGAACACCTATATATATATTATGTAATTTAGTGTAGGTATTGATGTTAATTTTAGTGTCGAGTAGTCTCTTATAAATATTCACTTGCAATTTGTTGTTTTACGAATCACTTTACTACTTGTGCTATTGTACATATGTAAGTTATTTTATAATTATTAATTATTTATCATTGGGTGTCGAAATTGGAATTGAACGAAATTGTTACTATTTCGTGTATGTGTTTTGCATGTGAACTATATACATACGTTCCGAATTTAAAGCGACCCTATTTTGTTTTGTACTTATTTATTTGTGTTTAATTTATTTAGTTTATTTTTGTATTCGTCAAATTTTTTTGTAACACCCGTATACCTATATTTATATATATTATAATATCTCAATAGTCGTTAATTATTAATCGCTGTAATGGTTTTAAGGTTAAAATTGCATATTTATCGTTTTATCTTTCTATTGTTAGACCTACCGGTATACATGATTTGTTTTTATACAATAAATAAGCACTAAGGATTAATTGTCAACAGTATATTATATTATAATATAATAACGCGATATTATTGTTTTTAATAATTGATCATTTTTTTTGGAATGGTATACCAGTCTTCCGATTCTTATAGCTATGTTTGTGTGTGTTATTGAAAAATACAGAAATCCGTTGTAATATATAAAATATATATATTTATGAAACATCTTTTTCCTTTTTTTGACAATACACAAACGTGAATATGATGCGTACCATCGTGTACAATTGGTCCAGTGAGTCCTGACTCCTGACGCAAGCGCAGTATACTAGTACACTATACAAACGAAAAAAATTATAACAATCTTGGTGTGGAATCCTTCAGAAAATAAAGTAATTATAAACTCTTTTCACGGTATACGTTTACATGTGATCATTTTGCCATAAATATCGATTTAACCGATTAGATTTTTCTAAATTGTAGTTGATTTTTACGACTTAAAAAAAATGCCTATTTAATTTTAAATATTTCTATATTTATACACAAAAAAATCATGCTATTTAATATTTATCATAATGTGATATTTTAGTGTTTTTAATTTCATGATTTGAATGAGAAGACTTTTCAAAAAATCTTGACGTATAAAATATATATTATACGTAGATACTAGATATGCTATGTATTGTACGTAGTCTAAAAACTAGACTCTATAGAAGAATGAAGTAGGTATTATGGACTTAAAACTTTTAAGGATTCGGATGACCTTATAAAAATCATTTCATTATTTAATAATTCAAATTGCTAAGTTATAATATTTTTTTTTTTTTATGACAAATTTTAATATATATTAAGGTATATTATATATATATATGATTATATATTATTACCTATATTTAAATTAATATATGATATATTAATAACAATATTGTGTCTAGGCACAAGTGAGAGAGAAAAGAAACCTTCTCCTCGATAATGAAGATAAAATTATAACAATTTATTATTTAACGCGTTTGGTGACCTCGATTCACTCGGTTGCACGCGTTCCTGCAATCCGTACCGAATCTACAATCAAAACCGGCAAGTGTATATTTTGGCAGCTTATATTTTAATATTGTGTCTGTATATAAAATACCTCAGTCCCAGAGAGCACGTTTGTGAAGGCGTTGGGTGTAAATGCAGTACACGGTTTAATCAACAGCGAAAATACGAGACGATTTGCTAGCGATGGTGATTAATGATTGTAGATGTGTCTATTGCATATTGACCTTAGTCAGGCAAGGAATAAAACTACACCTAAATTTGACATAAATAAAATAATATCCCACTTGATCGCGGTCTTTGTCATTCATTCACATAAAAATAGGGTATTTTATGGGTATTACGTCGTTTTATCGATCTCAAAATGCGTTGAGAAGAGCGGTAAGTCAGGTAAAAATTTAAAAACATTTTTTGGTCTAAGAATATAGACGTAAATAATGTTTTATCGCCTTCTGAACGAATTATTATTTTGTGTACGAAATATTTCCTGAAAATAATATGATCGCTCTAACTTCAATAATAATTAATATTACGTTCATATGCACACCGAATACAAGTAGGTAATGACTTGAAATCAATGCGTCTGGAAGGTAAGAATGAATAAGTTGTTCGAACCATTCGGATCTTGTGTTGTGAATAATTATACTAATCGAGAATACTGGTTTTTAAATAACAAATTTTCGTAGAAAAATGTTGGCGGTTTTCGTGCCAGTAATAAGTAGCCAGTACGCGTTCACGCCGCGCAATTTAATGTAAATGTATATAATGTGCAGAAAACGATACGCGGATATTGTGGTGGTCGTCGTCTTTACTCATCGTCATTCGCCAGGAACAAAAACGAAAGAAAGAAAGAAAGAAAGAAAGAAACCACTTTTACCTCGCCCGCGCTCCGCAGTTACCACGGCTAACGTATATATAGTAACACATTGACCCACTAAACACGCATCTCGTCACGGCTACGCGCATCGTGCGGTTGTCTTCGTTCCAACGAAGCCAAATGAGCCGGATATAAGGACTACAAGTGTATACCTACACATGAGCGTGTATTATAGCGAGTATATAATATATAAGCACAATCCTATTGGAGAGAATGTGACGAATGTGTGGAAGAGAGTGTGTGTGTGTGTGTGTGTAGCAATAGTGTCTATATAGTCTCAGCGAAATTACTGCGATTGTGATGATGGGGTTTTGCTGATCGAAATATTCGCAAATCCTCTACCAATATTATATCGTTATTAAACAGTTGACATTTGTTACCGTAAATCTGAATACTATTGTCGAAAAGACGTCTTCCAAAATCGTTTTGTTCCTATTTATGCATATTGTGTAGCATACACTCGCGTGTGTGTACAATAGGATGTCGTACCCCATCTCATAAAAAACGCGTGTGGTGCGTATACGCATCACACAAGAATCGGGTCGCTTTCCCTCGACCATAACAAGTTTTTGATAATCGCACATTTGATAAAATAACCATGATACTATAAAACGCCATTACCTACTCGTCAGCCAGTTTTTCATCAGGAAAACTTCAAAATGATGTCTAACACCTTATACCATCCTTACTCCCACCAACAATATTATATTTTACTTACAGAAATTAATTATTATAAAGACGATACGCTGATATATTATTATGTAGGTGGTGCGTACAATTAAACGAACACAAAAATACGAAATATAGTTTTGTGGATAAACCGGTTGGAGAGATGATAATATTAATACAACAAAATGCTGCGAGTTCTTTTCGAATCGGCCGGTTTATCGTCAGTATTCAATTGTAGCAACAGATTTTTTTTCAATGTTTTTAAATAATCTATTAGTAAACTATCTATACTGTATAGTAATTAACCAAGCATGCTCACCTATTTTCCCTTAAATTAATTATTATATATTTTATTGAAATTTTAATTTTTTTTTTTTTTATGTCGAGTATTCCGTGGGCTGAGCAAACAAATTATACTATTATTATTATTATTATTATTATTACACATAAACTTTAATATCTAAAAATATCGCAGTTAGAATTTTGTTTAAAAAGGAATTAATTTTAAAAAGAATAATTTGTTTCATAATTTACGTAAAAAAGGATTTCATTTCGAAAAAAAGAAGTTAGTTGTGACAAAGCCACACAGGTTGCATTTTAAATGTTATAAAATATCAAAATCTACTTTAACCTACTTAAAAATTTAAAAAATTAGAATTTTTATAAGTGATGTATTTTTAAAGTGAACATGCTTGGTGAATCAATCAGTTTTTATGGGTTTTAGATTTCTATATTCAATTTCTATTCTAACTTAGGCACTTAATAGATGTATCCTAACTTGTATATAGTTGTAAATTAATTTGGATCTACGTCCAAAAATCAAAATAATAGACGCAAAGAAATTGAAAAAAGTACAAATAACAGTTTTACAAAGCCATTCAAACAAAAACAAATATGAAATTATGAATGTTTATAAATTCCCTTTAAAATTAAAAAATTAGAAAAAAAACTTTGAGGTGCCCTATACAATTCATTAAAAGTAAAAGAGTAAAACAGATTTTCTGAACGTTACATTTGTCATATACATTATTAAGACAGAGCGAACAAATAAGGGTATAAAGTCTTCTTAAGTGACATTATATAACAATTTCTAACTCGTGTACTCAACCAGAAATTTAAGTCTACTCGCGTCTATGCAATATACTTATATTAATTACACATAATATGGCTGCTGAAAAAGTGCTCGCAAATGACGTTATTTTATGTTTTTCAGGGGATGTTTTCAAAACATATAGACTTAAGTATTAATGACATAACATACTATTCCTCACAAACGACGCTATTATACATGTTTTTTTTATCATTTTAGCTATATTATATTGAAAATTGTTATGCTGAAAAAACAATTCATCATCGTCTTCTCAAATAAGATCGCTCAACTTGCTACGATAGATAATTTAAGGAGAGAGATTAGCGTTCAGATCAATTTCGAGGCCGCTGAATTGATTTACGACGAGCGCCTCCGTAAACTTGATACACTATGTAAACGTTTCAGTGATTTTTCGGAAGTCTGAAGTACGAGTCTATACTACGTATGGTCATTATCGACGCCGCAGATGGGTTGCCTTGATTATAATATACATATGCCTATAATATAGGTCTGTGAACACGCCGAATCGTGCACAATTCAG